TAATTGGCGTGACATAATGAAAGTGTGATAAACCTGGATTCGATAGTCGACGCGATTTTGGAGTGTCGACGAAGGTAATTGCGCACTTGAAGTCGTTCTATTCTCACCGCAACCTTCTCGTTCGCGTAACGGAGGCGTTGATTCCGAGGTAATATAGAAAAATGGGGAATTATTTTTTTTTTTTATTTTCTCTCGTGTACTATGTTTTCGAAATACGTGAAACGTCCACCGAAGTATCAGCAGCCGTGACAAAATTTCGCGTTTCAAGCCGCTGTGTCACGTCTGTCAAATGAATCGACGCTGAACCGCGCAGGCATTTTAACATTAAAATATGTCTGAGGACACTGGACACTTCTGGTGCAATTCCCCTGTGATTCAAGAGCAGACATGGCTGGCGAGAAACAACGCGAAAAGTTGTCATGACACATACAAACAATGCATTTTTGGCACTTTACATTTTTATTCAACGTGTAAAGCTAGCAATGAAATGCAAAATCGATTTTAAAAGAGAGTGAGCGAAGTAACATATTATACATGTTACATGAACCATTCCTGAACGAAATATTCAGGAATAGGCAATGCAATTGTCGTAACTTCGGCAAATAAAATATCTCGAGAAAAAGCAAAAAAGCATTTCTTTTGTGCTAACCCCCCTACAAAATGGCTTATGGCATATGATCTTCCACATGGTAACAAATATATCTTTCTCGTGTGTACCTTCTTTTCCACACTATAATCGCAACACTACTGAACATCGTAAGGCTGTCCTGGGTATTCTCGGCTGCATTCGTGAACAGGTTTTCAAGGCTGCGTCTAGAGCAGACCTAAGGGCAGCCAGACACCAGTAGTGATCGTATTTATCTTCACTAAGTAAAGACATATTTTTGATTGATCAAAAATATTGTGCCTCCTCACCAGATGACTGCAGTTTGATTGTCGGGATCACGCTCTTTTAGGCAGGACATAGGTATAGGAACACAGGATCAAAGTACAACGAGGTTCTTTACAGCCATTGGCAAGACCTACAAGCACTCTGAGAATGAACATACCCTATCATGGTACCATGAAAAGGCATATCTTGCAGTCAGCGTTCTGCTTTGAAGTCTATCAGGACAATAATGACAGTGCCGCAAACAGTTATTAAGTACCGTCGCATTTTGGTCACTTAACTTCAAAAGGGCTATAGCAGAACGCAAAGGACAGAAACGGCCTGAGTCTGAGGAAGCACATTTTAGCCGAGCAGAATATAACCTCTTTTATACTGAGGCACACCGAACAGTCCAATGATGACACCTCCGCTAGATTTTTATGTCGCTGCATAAAAATTGCCATCAACAAGAGTGGACACCATTGTGACATTGCGACGGAAATTTTTATGGAGAGTCCATGGTATAAAGCACATTAAACTCTGTACGAAAGGCCAGCTTCATATATAGTCGTGTTGCTACGTGCATGCAACCAGGTTAAAGAAATGCTGAACCGAAATTCGGATTTTAGAAAATAAGGCCGCAGACACCGTTGGGTAAAGCACATCTAAAAGGTACTTCTAGTAAAGTACAAAGTAAATGAGACGTCATAACGTCTCATTTACGCACCAGTGTACTTAATAATTTACTTACAAGTAAATTATTAAGTACACTGGGAGGAACGTACTTGAAGTAAAGTACTATAAATACAATGTACTTTCAAAGTAAAGAACAAGTTTTTTAACACAATCTTTCATGATGCCCTTTCATTCCCCTATACAGTGATTTTTTTCTTAATTGGTATACATTACCCAGGGGTAATCAAGGGAGCATGACCTCAAAAACAGCGGCGAATATTTGGTAAAGTCAAGCAGCCGCAGAGTTATTTATTTTTATTTTTTCAGGAATGGAGTTAAATTCAGAATACCCTCTTCTGAATTTGGCGCCCCTTGCACTGGATTGTTTCACCCAAGGGGGTTAAATGTACTAGGAGACACCATGACGTCAGCACCGTAGCTTCCGCAAGCAATCCTCTCATAGAAAAATGCCATCTCCTTAATAAAAAATAAAACAAAAAATAAATGTGCAAGCGTGCTGGTGATAATTAATCATCATGTGACACCTGCGATTGGGGTGCGAACAAAAATTAAGGAACTTTCAAACAGAAGGAAAAGGCAAAAGAGAATGTCTCAAACCAACGTTCTCCACTGTTGCCTCTTATACGTCGACATGGAAATTTAATTTTTTCGCACCACAGACTTAGGAGCTACATTATGATTATTTTTTCTCTCCTAATATTTTGAACATCCTCGCTTGCGCTGACCGACTGAGAAGTAGCAAGAGTTCAAAAACCTACGGGAAAGCCGCTCCAGTACATACGGGGCGATGCGTCGTCTGCTCACGTTTCTGGTGAGAGTAGAATATCCCTCCCAGTTTTTCTTCGGAGTTGACAAGGCATCACTTCGTGATACAAATTTAACAAAACGAAATTTGGGCAATGTACTTTGAAGTCGGTCCTCGGAAAGTAGCAGAAAAGAATACTTTAAGTACAAGTACGTACTCAGAGAATGTACCTCAAGTAAAGTACAAGTTTCCTAAACCTAATTTAAGTAGTACTTTAAGTACAATGTGCTTAAAGTACTTCCCAACACTGGCCGCAGACGTGTTCAGCAGGACGCTACGTGCTTGTGCGTGAGTAAGTACTCACGCACAAGCACGCAAGTGCTTTTGTGAGACTGAGTAAAGTGTATGTATGCTTTCTTTGTGAATAAACTTATTATTATTATTATTATTAACCCCAAAACACCACTCATGCAGCAATATCTCGAACGGATCGAGCGATATTTTAGAGAAGTATCGCTCGATGTACCGCTCGTCGTAGTGAAGTGCGCACACCCCAGAGTTTTCCTGAAGATGCGTGTCTCCCCTCGAAATATTCCTGTCCCAGTGAGAGTAGAGAACTGGGTCCTTCGGGACGGCGACCAACGTGTGTTTTTCTTTTGCAGACCTGTAGCCTGTCGTGCATCCTGGAACGAAGCAGTGCTTCGCTCGCTGCTTTATCTTTACGCCGGAGGTTGACGGGGCAACGTCCATAGTCTCCACGTGTCACCTGACGGACGGGCATGCATGAACGGTTGAAATAAATTCACACGAGCGCTGAAGAACAGATGAAAGCGGGCGTGAATTCGTCGCTATCGCCTTGCCGCACGCAAATCCCCGCGCCAGCTGCGCGCGCCTAGCATACACGCTGACTAGAGCGCCCCTGACGGTGATTTCCCAAACCGGCCGCGGCGATGCATGGGAGAGCCGGCGCGCTCGACACACCCAACTCTCTAGCCACCCTACCTGTGTGGCGCGTGTCTCGGAACCTGTTTTTATGGTTCGGGCGCGTCACCCTCCTAATTAAGGTCGACGCCTGGCCTGTGCGCGGTCTTGCTCGGCGGCGATTATCACTTCCGCAGGTCGGCGTCGATGTCGCTGCTAACGACGCTCAATGCCGACGGTTATTGGCAGACGTGGCAAATTGAGCGTCCTAGGCTGTCTCGCGTCCCCGCGTGATGGATTGTTCTCGGAAATCGTATGGCAACTCTGTGTTTGTCTTGGCAGGGATCGAGAAGTGAGGACAAGGGATGTTGTGGACTTATATTTCATTTCGATTTATCTACTCTTCCCTTAAATCAGCAGCGGGGCTTTTCACATAGGGGGGGGGGGGGGGGGGGGGGGGTGCAATACATCAGGACGCAAGTTAACTAACACTAAGAAAAAAGTATAGTAAAACAGCTGTAACGTTCGTACATTTCAAACAAAACAGCGAGTGTATTAAAAAAAAAAAAAAAAAAAAGATTGGTAAGGTCCGGTAAGGGTTGCAATATCACGCGGGAGTGCATTCCAGTCGGAAACTGATAAATGCAATGAAAAAAAAAATAAGGAATTAGATATGGCTGGCACTATGCAATAAGTGGTGTTTCCCAAGTGGCCAGATATAGAAGGCGTCTTACAAAACCCGAGGGTTTTGTTAGCGGTAGCTGTGACGTAGTTAATGTGTGGCTCACACCAAAAGGTTCGAAGTGAAGTAAATCCCAAGATAATTAATTGTATGTAGAGACGTTTTCGATTGGGGGGGGGGGGGGGGTAGCATTGAAAGTGTGTACTTTGAACTATGTAGACGAACGCCTGCCAGTAAACAAGCGTTTTTGAACTATGTAGAGGAACGCCTGCTAGTAAACAAGCGTTTCGAACCTGAAGTCCGTTTAGACGTCGTGAAGAACGTCACTTCACCCTTAACGCAACGGCCGGAGCAAGCAGTATAAAGTCTTCCTCGTGTTTACTAACTCTGATGTTGATCACCCTAAGCAGTTAAGTTAGAAGTGCCACGATAAAACGATAGCCCATTCTTCGACTCAAACATAGGTTAACCTAAACGATATAGACCATTCCAAAAGCGGGTTTCTCACCGACGCGCTATATCGAAATTCAAGAACGCACGCGCTTTTTTTTTTTTTTTTTTTTTTTTCAAAGCGTAGGACAGTATACGTGTATTGGCCCGTGAACTTCGCACGCTAGGCTGTGATTTTATAAACATCGGTATGTCGTATTGTGTGTACCGACATTTGTTGTTTGCAGGCAAGTGCCTGACTGGTCACACACCAGTGGTCCGACGCCTTTCGTGATTCACTTTTGAAGTCTCTGCAGTCTCCTTGTAGTCTGTATAGACCATTCTAATATCCACCCTCTGCGGGCTGCCATCTTTGTCTGTTGAGCTGTGGACTGGTTGTAATCACCTGTAGATAGCTCTCTTCTGTGCAGCCCAGTGACTCAATATTTTTATTTTAAACATAGCATAATCATACCATTGATGCATATTTTAAGTATTCATTTAATTCAATCTCTAAAGCACGAGCGCTACGATCTTATAAAGAGCCAGTTGATAGCATTGTGTGTGACTCAAATTAACCGCCAGAAAACTTGCCAATGTTCCTACGTGCAGTATAGACATTAACTACAACCCCCTTCTCTTCATTCCTGTCAATCCAGTGGTCTCAGCGGTCCGGACCACGCGTCGCTGTCCAAGTGGACCAAGTCCCGGTCCGTGGTACCGGTGTACCTCCGGTGCGACCAGGGCAGGGTGACCTGGAGGTACCCCAGGGGTGCACTCAGGGTGCTCCTCCGGCTAGGGGGCACTTCTGGTACCCCGAGGGACTTCCGGGCGTGCGTCAAGATCCCGGGCAACTCCACCGGTGCTGCCGTGCATCTCGAAGGACATCGTAGGCTTATCCCAATATACAAGGTGAGCAACACCAACACATTGTTTACTTCTTCGACTTTGCGAAGGTTTTTGTAGTTGGTGTGACGACAAAAGGGCACACACGGGCGCCATCTGTTAGGTAGTCCTTCAGATCTGCGTATAACTATAGGTTTTGCAATATCTACGAGATAAAATATGCGCTCTATCTACGAGGAATGGTCGCCTATAACACTGTGATAATTCTTTCAAGCACAAAGTGAAAGGAAGACTTGTCAAATATACGCTGATCGGAAAGGTCCCAGGGTTACTCGATAGATGACGCTAGTGTGTTATTTAGTCGCATAAGCGGTCGTAATTCAGACGGTCATAGCCAAACGCACATAGGGCGGCCATTAGACCTCGGAGCAGTCGCCCTATTTTATCAAGGACTTGAGTTCGTTAACTAGCAAACTCAAACTAGTTAATCCTGATGGAAATGGGGAAAATGAAAGATGGGGAAAGGGCGATACAATTTTTTTTTTTTTTTGTATACATGGCTTGCACTTGACATCACTGCACCGTACCAGGTATACATGGCTTGCATAGCCTCCTAAGACCGGCAGTCTTGAGGGTGCGGAATGCACGTTGCAAAAGAACTGTGGAAGCTCGCCGTTAGCACGCGCTCAGCAGCCGCTGCTGAGCGCATGTTGGCGGCGGGCTTCCACAGTTCTTTTGCAATGTGCATTCCGCACCCTCAAGACTGCCGGTCTTAGCAGGCTATTAATGAGAGCTCGTTCTAAGCATGCGCTTCAAACATCGCTCTCAAATATGGCGGCCAGGTGACTGCTCACAGCCCATGCTCGGGATGAGTTCTTATTTATGGTCTCCCAAAGAAGACAATCTTGATGGTGTGCAATGTGCGTGTTGGGAGTATTGTAGAAGCTTGCCGTCAACACGTGCTCAGCAGTCGCGCACACAGCTATGGCCGCTAGTGATTACTCCCTCTATGCTGCAGAAGGTTCGCACCCCAGCAGCAAGGCAAACCATGGCAGCTGATGTGACGTCTGTGCAAGTCATGTATAGCTCTGGGGTCCTTTTCGGGAGCTTCTATGCACCTAGCGGAAGTCGTCTGCTCACAAAGCGCGGTCGTCTGCGATGCAGGGTCCGTCGGCAGACGGCCAAGATCAAGTGCTACGGTGCTTCACGTCTTACAAGGGACAGGCGGCGTTGTTCCTCGAGGCCACCCCTGAGGGCAATCATCTGCTGCGTCGAGACACCCTCCATCTCTGGTACCACCTGACGCCGGTCACTTCGGCGCGGGACCTCGAAGATGACATGGCCGGTGAGCGGACCTTACCTTCCGTTACACACACACACACACACGAGGCTGGTTTCTTGCAAGGATCGCACGTAAGCGACATGGTAGTTTGCAAGGTTCGTGTTCGGAAACAAAATAGGCATGCAGCGATATCAAGCTACACAACGGGGTTAGATCGAGAAAACGAATCCCTGTCTTTCGGCCCGCGTAAAAAAAAAACCACGCATCTCAGAAAGCATACATTCCTTGAGAATGTGACGCTAGCAGAAGTGGTAAAATGCAAAATTTTAAGGAAGTCAGTTTTACGTGGTTCAATAGAGAAAACGGAAAAACAAAATTTCTCGGAGCCGGCGTCCGGCCGCCTGTGGGCAATATTTGCCAAACTAAGGAACGACATTATTAACACCTGTAACATTTATTTAAGTAAAAAAAAAAAAAAAGCATCGTCATCAAGAATGCTGCCAAGCCCTTTTTTTTTTTCTTTTTTACGAAAATAAATGTTACGGGCGCCCACAATGATTTGATGAATATTAAGGTGAACGTCGGCTCAGAAAAAAAATCTTGTCTGCATACCTGTCGAAAGCAATCGAGTGTATCAACCAGGAGTGCGTCGAACATTTTGTCACCACGTCCTCAGGGAACACCGTGCCTCTTGTGTGGTGTATATTTGAGCGGTGATACTGCGGCTCTCAGTAGATATCACCGAACAACGTTTTCAATAGAGGATGTGTATACCTTTCTGACCTGCACATCGAAGGTGCGTCAGTATATGTTGGCGGGTTCGACTCAAGACGTAGCGCGCTCTTCGAAGGCGAATAAACAATAAAACTTCAGACCAAAAAAAATAAAAAAACAGCGATGTAACAACTCGTTCGTCCACCCGCACGAGCTCGCACACGAACACACACGCGTACTCGCTCGCACGCCTCACGGCACCTTTCGCCTCCTCTTATCTCACTTCGCTTCTTTTTTATTTTTCAAGTAGAATTTTTGGGTCCTTTTACATATTCTTTCTCCCTCAATCTCTCGAATGCGGCAATTTACTTCTATTCTCTCCGCTCGACTAGCAGACGAAGGAACCGCCGCAGAGGGAGAGAGAGGAGGGACACGGGCGACGCCACGTTAGGCCTAACAACTCGGCCCCCAAGCTTTAGGCTTAGCACGACTACGCCCGTTTTGGCGGGGTTGCCGAAGGGGCGCGCAGGCGGGCGGGGGGCGCTCTGGGGCGTACTCTGTGATTTTATTTTCACAGCGGGGGCACCGTCGGCGAAAGAGGAGGGGAAAGAAGTAAGGTTGAAGGGAGGATATTCTTCTTTGGTCGGTTTCTTTTTGGCGGGAAGCGGGCGGGCGCGGTGTTGCTCGCTCGTTCGCTCTCGCTGCGGTGTGGTGTATGTGCGTACGGTCTGTCAGCTCGCCTCCTTTCTACCGTCCATCCAGCTCAAGAAGTGGCGGCGGCGGTGGTGGTGGTGGTACGGTGGTGCGCTTTATTTTTGTTTGCTGGAAGGTTTAGAGGGCTAGAGACCGGTTCCTCGAGGGCGGAGGGGTGGCCAGGCAGTTTCATGTGGTTCCTCGCTTGGCCTTTTTTGTTGGTTGGTTACGATCGTTTTCTGTGTGCGCGAGATGCAAGTTCGGGGATCGGGAGGGAGGGAGGGGGGTTAAGCTTTTTGGTGAACACGGACGGGTGTGCGTTCACCGTGAAAAGCGAGGAAGACCGCGTTCATTTCTTTGGACACACCGGCCGAGCGGAACAGAACATCCAGCTGCAGGCGCAGTTGAACTTTTGCAGCTTGTTGGGTGGAAGATTCGTCTTCTCGAGAAAGGAGTTGCTGATCCCTGGTTGAACGAGACATACGTTGCTGTCAGAGGCTTAGGTTTGAACGATTCAATAGCAGTATAAAGAAAACCTGGCGGCTTAGGGTTTTATGTATGTATATACTATATATATATAATGCGTAGATGAGGGTCCAAGAAATAAAATGCAAAGTCATGCCCGCCCACGCGCGTTGGCGACTCCTTAGACTGAGACTAGAAGCTCCGCCTTCAGTGCGAGCTAGCTGTCTTCCGCAGTGCTTTGGTTGCGCGTGCCTGCGCGTTCACACTCGTGTTAGCAAGGGGAGAAAGCTCGCGATGGAAGGCGGATCTTCTAGTCTCAGCTTAAGGGTTAACGGAGTGTAGCTGAGCTTTACGAAGACTGTGGTGGCTGACTTTGTTTTCCCGTATACCATCGTTTTAGTTGAGGGCGTTGTACTCCACCTTGTGAACGTATACAGTGCAGACAAATGCACAGGCGCGTGGGCTAGCTCTGCAGAAGGCTTTGTTCCTGCAAGAAATCGCGCAAAGAAGGCACTTTCCAAGGTCAACATGCGCTCGTGCCGTTTTTTAGCACTGCAGGTGTTTGTGTGATGGAGTATCTTGACGTCACATGCAAGCCGTGCTTACCATGTGTGAGGACTGGACAACCCACATGTTCACTACATGTTCAGTGACGTTGCAGCTTTTTCTATCCACCAGGATTTTAGTATTCATGCCGGTGAGGTCAGAGTTGGAGAGCGCTTAACATGTTCGGTGAAAGGATGAGTTCTGTTCACCAAGTGACGACAAAAGAGCGAACATGTTCTTGCACATTTCTGAATGTCGACGTTGAAACACGAGATCTTACACCCACAAATATCACATAACAGACGCCGAAGTTAGGGTGCCTCAATGCCCTTTTGTTAAGGGTGATGCCACCCTTTGTAGAACCCGATACCGGCAGCATGCGCTCACGGATAAAATACAAAGAAATCGACGAAAACAAAATGTCGCCATAGCACAGTCAGCGCCACAAACACGTGCAGTTAGGAACACGCTCTTTCAAGTGCTTCTGAACGAAAAAGAAGAATAAACGCCTGGGACAAAATGGCCAGATGTCTCCACCCTAAGCAAAGCGCACATGAAGGCACCCTAGCCGAAGCTATAGCGATATTGAGGCTTTGGGGCACGTGTTCGCACATGGCAAGTGTGGTATCTAAAAAATAAATTTCGATAATGGAGGAAGTAAGTAAGGCTGCAAAACATTTCGCTTTGGCACATGAGTGACTTTACACGGGACGCGTCCGCAACTCGGGACATAGTGCTAAAGTTTCAATGTCCTGGTTGCTGCCTTATGCATGCAAGACTATGCAGCCATGCGCGCGAAACCAATAGGGAGCATTCGCTGGCGGCCATTAGCGGCGAGAAGTTATGGTGGCGCCCTCCTACGGTTCCCTCTTGTGACGTCATTACCTTGCAAACAACAAGTTCGATGGTGTTTGTAAATAGCATGGTGGACGCTTGAAATCATTGCGCTCTCAAAGGAACACTACCAACACCGTCAAAATTAAAGTTCTTTCATTCCTCTTATTACCGTCGATGATATACCCTTTCCGACGTCATAAGTCAGCGTTCGGCCAATCGTGGAAGGCCGACCACAGCGACGCTTTCGGTCGCGCTCGTCGCCAATAGCTGTGCGCGCAACTGATGAGCCCGAGCTGACAGCGAGCCTCCGCAGTTCTTTTCCAACGTCCATTTTGCACCATCGAGATTGCCGGTCTTAGCGGCCTATTCACGTGACCTGGTTCTGAGCATGCGCTCTAAACATCGCCCTCAAATATGGCGTCCAGTGAATACCCCCTATTGGCGTGTGCTTGCTCGCGCGAGCAATAAAACATGGCGGTGGCCAGATATGCCCTGCTTGCAATCAACGTTACTATAAATAGATCAAAGTCAGTGGACAAGGTTCCTGGAACGCCTAGCTCCTTTTCGTGGCGCGTGCGCTCGGCGGCACGCCATATCTATCCCTATGAAAGCCCCTCGATGTGTTTGCGTTTGTCTTGCAAGTAGCGTCAAATGCGCCAGTGCACGTTGCACATGTCTCGGGCGGCCCTTGGAAACAAATGGCGGCGGAGGACCCACTCGTGGTACGTGTCTTGCGCGTTTCCACAACAATGTTGGCGGTACTTGTAAAAAAATAAAACAAAAAAAAAAGACGCCTTTAGCAAGGGGCTTTATACCCCTTGTCAGACGACGCCCTAAAGCTCCTTTTTTATTACTATCCTTTCCGCTAAAGAATATTCTGCTAAAGCATGCGGTGACACGGCCGGCAAAATGATAATTACCACCGATATTGGAATTCCTTTGGGGCTGGCCACACGGAGTTAAAATTGAAACGAAAATATTATTCTGAAATGCTATAATCGTTTAAAACATTACAAGTTAATGATTATTTTACGAACAATCTTTGAAACGCAAATAATTCAAATAATAAGGAGAGCAAACATTCGCAAGAAGATTTCGTGTCATAGCCGGACAGTGGCAACCACGACGGTGTGCAATATTTACAGTGCGCTAAATTGTTGCTTGCGTACCAGAACCCAAAACTTATTAAAAACTAGTATATATATTTGACAGCTTGAACCAGGGGAAGATATAGAGAAATTGAGACAGGAGAGAATAGACAGCTGACTACCAACGATTATTTAGTGGGAACTTCTTTTTCCTTGCGTGTTTACATACACCAACAAAAATTATTACATATTAAAACCTATTATACTAATATAATAATGCATGTGTATGTTTACAAAATTTTCACATTACCTAAACCTAAACTAATATTTTAAATTCACCCGCCACAAGCTCATACTGCCATTTTCTGGACCGTGACGCACCGTAGATATTGTCTCTCCTTTTTGTGAATAGTGATGGACGGGGTGCTGACGCACCCACTCGCTTGTTCTTCGATAGCAAGCGCCTCGAGCATCTCGCGCGCATGAGTATTGTTATTACTGGCTAGAATGTCTCAATTTCTCTATATCTTCCCCTGGTTCAAGCTGTCAAATATATATACAAGTATGTACCAACAAGCTCCACTATCAACCGTTAAAAACTAGTATCTCCCCATAGTTAAAATTTGAATATATCCGAGTTTAAGTGATCGGGTTTTTATGGCGCAAGGGCTGCTAAGGCCAAAGAGCGGCAACCGAGTTTAAAGGGATACTGAACCAAGG